CCGGACACTGGTCCCTACTTTGTTCGCGACCTCGTTGGCACGCCTCCAGTTCTCGCTTAAGCTGCTTATTGAGTTCTGTGCTGCTTTTGGTATGCGCTGCAACGTTCGGAAATGTGAGGCCCTTGTTGTGGCTGCTTCCGTTGATGTCGTTAAGAGGGCGTTTGAGGGGGTGAGGCTCATGCTTCCTCTCCGTACTGATGGGTCGCTTTGGCACCCACCCATGGTTGGTAGTTTACTTGTTCCTAGTCCTATTAACTGGTGTGGTCGCGTTAGGTACTTGGGTCTCTATTGGGGCCCTGCGTCCCCGTTTGCGAGTTGTGTCAACGAACTTTTGGAAGCAGGGCGACGGGCTATGTTCGGTCTTAGTAATCGGTTGGATGAGAACAGGGTGTGGGCTCCTGCCGTTCGGCTTCAAGCGTTCGACACCCAGGTCCGTTCGGTTCTCTGTTATGGTGCTGAGGTCTGGGGTCCTGATAGGATTGTCTCCGTCCTGCGGTTAGGTAAAGGTGTTTTACCCGCTGGTAAGTCATATTTTGATTTGGCTTTGGAAGATGGTATGGTCCAGGTCCAGCGTGACTTCTGTTTACGTTGTGCTGGGCTCAAGCAGGTACCTTACAAGCTGTTGTACAGGGAGCTGTCTCAGTTGCCTTTGCAGTACTTTTGGTTACGCCTTGCGTTGTGTTTCTGGAATAAGATAGTCAAGTCCCGTGNGTCGGTCTATCATGACGTGTTAGTAGATGATCTCCGTCTGGCTCTTCTGTCTGATCTCAAAGTGGATTGCTGGTCGTCTAAAGTGCTCATCATTTTGCGTTTGGTGGGCCATGAGTGGCCGGCGTGTGACTCCGTTTCTCAGAAGGTAGATGTATACTCGTCTCAGTTGATTCGAGTGGGTGAGGTTCTGGAGAGGTTATCTGCGTTCCTTTTAAGTGACTGGGATCAGTTCAGCCAAGGGGGTGATCCGCGTGTGTTCCAAGGTAAAGGGGTTTCGCTTTGCAGGTATCATAACTGGATGGGCTCCCCTTCACCAGCAAGAGAGGGCTCCGATCCCACAGGCTATTTGCGTGTTTATTTGCCGGTCAACCAGTTGCGTATGGTTGCCAAATTCCGTCTTTTTTGTTGGCCTTTGGAGGTCAACAAAGGACACCATAGGCCGAGAGAGTGCCGTACGTGTCAGGTCTGTACGTCGGGTAAGGTTGAGGATGAATATCATGTGCTCATGGAGTGTGAGGCGTATACTGAGTTGCGTAATAGGTTTCTGATTAACGTTGAAGATACTGATATGCGCAAGGTATTTCTTAATACCAATCCGAGGAAAATCGCTACTTTCCTTACTGAGGTTTTTGATGAGCGTCAACAGCGTGCTCTGGAGCCTCACGGCTCGTGAGGGCACCCGCCGCGTCGGCGGCGGAAATACTGTAACCACAATGACAATGACAATGACAACAGTTGGGAACCAGAAGCTAACTTTACCCCTGATCTGAAACCTCTGCTGGAAGAAGCACGGCAAAGAGCACGGGCGAGGTAAGATTTGCGGGTTAAAGGTAAGTGTTTAACTCCCGCTTTTTGGCCCGGTTCTGCTCTGCCAGTTTCTTGCCATGCATCGAGGACGCTGCATCTAGAGGGGGGATAGTTGTTGTATTCCGCTTCTTAAATCTGGGCCCAAACTGATACATTTTTCTGTCTAATTTTTCCTTTCTCGCTTGGCGCGGTTACTGGACAAGTTTGCTGGAACTAACTGAATTCCAACTGCCTATTTTGCCGCTTTTTCTGTCAGATCTTTATGGCTCCGACCTCTGGGTCAGACGGCGAGCGGGAAGCTGTCATGGATGCCTACAAGTAAACACCGCCTCAGGCGGAAGTCCATACTTGCAGAAGTATGGGCGGGGGTCGTAGCACAGGCTACGACTGGGACGCTGGTCCCTGGCTCGCGGAGCCCCGTCATCGATTAGAAGCATGGATCAACGGTACGCCATTCCGGACTGGACCGCGCCTTTTCGGAATTGGCTGTACGATTCATGGGATGGCCGCATCCTCCGCTATTTAAGCGGGTGAAACTCTTCCAAATCGGTGTCTTCCGACGCCACCATCCAGTTGTGGTTTAGTAAGATACAACAACTAATGGCACAACTCGACTGTAATCACCAATTCAGATGCTTAATTCTCCATACTGACATTCTTCTTTGACTTCGTCAATTGCTTGTACTTTTCTGTAGCAACAATTAGCAATGTGTGGGCAACTTGCACTATAAGACCAATGCAATAGAACAAACAGTTTTTATACTTGAAAAGCCAGACAGCCCACATGCTTGCAAATGCCAGCAGATGAAACTGTTTGCCTAAAATTTTCCATGGACAGGGGGCAGGAGAGGGGATAAAGTGCGGAAGTGGGGCGGCAGCCTCACGACCCCACACATTCCCCCCAAGACCACCTGGCCACCGACAGGCAATCATGATAGGGATGAGCGGGAGCCAAAGGAAACATTTAAAAGCATTATACAACTCATGTAAACCACGCAAAACATGCACCGGGGTGGTCATGGATCGCAGTGTACGACTCATGGAATGAGTGCAAAACATGTGCCCGGGTGGTCATGGCCTGCATTGCTGCATCATGGAATACCATGCGCAACATGACCTGGTCATGTTCTGCATATCATAGATATTTATGTGCAGGTATATGACCAACTTTATGACCCCCTGGGGTCATATTGGGATCCACTTTTTCATGTATTGACATCATGAATCGCAGACATTCTATGACCCCCACCAGTCATATCCTGCACTTGGCTTATGCAAACTATGAACTGTTCCATGACCGGATCCATGACACATACGTGACGGTCTGGTCATGATTGACACTACTGCAACCGTTTCGGGAGTAATAATTCCTGTTCTAATTACGTTTGTCTGGAGATCATGCCATCCAGTCATACTGGGGCCTTATCAGCAGAAGGCCAAAATGGATTCTGCTGCGACTTCTCAATCCAATCATTTGCCTCAATTGGTAAATTTCAATACCACCACTTGGTGGTTGTGTCTTACAACAACTACCTCCTCTCCGAAAAACCGAACAATTGTCCATGAATTGTCTAAGAGCCACTTTCTGCAAACCTCTCCATGGGAAGCACTTTGAAATCCATCCATTGCAGGTGGATCGGCATGTTTCAATCACCTGTTACCAAGAGCAAAGCATACAGGCTACATTGAGCAGTACTATCATGTAATGAGCTTGCCCACATTGTAGCCACTCTTGCCATCCTTGATCAGTCTGGCACGCTTGGGCCCAATCATCTTCAGCAGCAGCCAGCCCAGTCGTGGGACCAGTTGGAAAATATAGCCTGTGAAGAGAAGGCATGTAGGTATCCACGTTAGTTGTAGAACCATGTTGCAGCCAATTGTGGCATCTCCACCCACATGGTAGCATGCAAATCACAAGAACCCGGTTTTACACAATTGGGACAGACAGTGTGGCCCACCAAACCCATCCTATACTAGCTGTAAGAAGAAATCGCTCCCTCGGCATCTACCTGAGACCTCTTTGCCTGGTCTTACATTAGTGCGACTTGCTAAGAGGTGGGAACTCCCTGAATCGAGTCTGGTTACAAACATAGAGCATGCCAGGCATGTGCACCTTGCCCAAAGGTGTATGCCTGGGTGGATGATAAGAAGTCTACCAGCTGAGTAAAACATTAAGACCACAGGGACAGAGGAAATGTCAGAAAATCGTAATCCTACAGGATATGCCCGGCGGCACCTGAGGATCCGGACGTTCGCTTGGGGCCTCCCCTAGGGGGAAGGAATGTAAGAAGAAATCGCTCCCTTGGCATCTCCCTGAGTACTCTTTGCCTTGCCTTACACTAGCTACCTGCCACCTTAATATATAGACCCAAGGTAGCCCCCATATCCTCAATTATATAATCTACCAACCCTGATCAATAGCTTCATTCATAAAGCTCCGCCCTACACAGATCCCCACTCAGCCAGGCCTAGATACTCATGCATAGGCAGCATGGAAATATGTGGGGACCATCCACTGCACCCCATGTGTCCTCATGTCTGCACCCCATGTGTCCCCATGTGTACTCATGTCGAGCTGCCACCTCCTCAGCCCAACCTACCCATGGCTAGCACTGGGTGCTGCGCGATCCAGGCCTCATCCACGCCATGTGCTGCTGCACTGGCGATAAGCTGCGCAGCTCGTGCTGGATCGAGCCTATTTGAGGAGCCGGTGGCGTTCTGCACTATGCGCCCAGCAGGACCATATACAACACGCGGTAGCTCCTCGGAGCCAGTCGCCACAGGACCCGGACAGCAGATTGTGACGCCCACATTCCTGCCAATACATTAGACGCAACAGCATGGCGCAAGGTTGTCAATGTCACAATAGGAGAGACTCACAACTGCAGAGGTTCAGGTGCTTGTGGCCCCAGGAAATGGAAAGTTCTCACACATTATTACAACAAGGAAATTGGTATGGTATGACTGGTCCGACTTGATTGGTGCTATTACCTACAGGGTACAGGTCTCCCTTCCTGCCTTGCCCGTCAAATTAAGGTGGGCCGACTCCTTACGCAGGACAAGCTCCCACTATCTACCATTCCTTTGCTCTCGTTTGCTTTTATACAACCCCTTTACCTGTCATGCAGGCAGGGAGCATCATACCAGACTGAATTTAAGAACTGGAGTGCTGTTCGAATTTAGCAGGTGTGTAAATCTTAAGAGCTAAATTAGGAAATTATATTTTGTCTCTCCCCCACACATGCATGTTAGCGTGCTGTTGGCGATGTATGCATTTGTTCAACTCCCTTAGGGCCTGATGCGGCAGATATATGCTTACCACAAATGCACCCCCATTACTCCCTCCCTTGAGCCCCTTCCAACTTCTACTGACGTGACCAAAGCCCTTACTGGGTGATACTCACACATGTCATTACACTGCATCATGCAACTCACTGGAGCATTTCCATTTTCACTATACTTGCCAGACTCTTCCAAGACCAATCAAGGTAATTCAAAGAGGAATCCGAGCTGCTGCCCACCTATCAGATGTGCACATCACACTCGGTCCCAAGGGAAAGAGGTGTGTTAATCACATCCAGGAGGTTGCAAACCCTTGGAGACCACTGAGTGCAGTTGTTTTTTTGCCGCAATACACATTTGCCTACGCAATAGCCATGTTCGCTAAAGTTGACGGCAGTGGCTAGCGAATATTGCATACAGCCGGTATGTCTTTTCGAGACTCTTCCCCATTTTGCCCACTCACGTATCCGCCAGCTCCGTTGCCAGGGAAGAGAAGTAGCCATACAACGCCATCTTGGCAGCTGCATACACAGCCTTGAAATGGCATATATAGGGGTCGGAAAACGGAAGTGGCCTCCAGACTATACGACATTGATGAAACTAGTTCATAGACCGTGTGAATAATCAATAATCCATCTAGCCCGCTAAAACCTCGGCACGATATCCCATTGTGAAGGACTCCACAGATCCAATACACCAACACCCCTACAAATATTGCAAACCCCTCACACCAGTCCCATCCTTACTGTATCCATCAATCGGCTCGCCTCCCCCCAGGCCCAAATCCCACGTCAGAAGACTGCATGTCCCGAGAGCCTCTGGCAGCATACAGTATGTATGCTACTGCTTGGAGTTACTGATAATAGAGAAAAGCCGGTAGCTACCGACAAGAATGAGCATCGCCAATGCCACCAGCCTCGTTCGATGGCAATTGCGTGTAGTTGTCCTTCGGTATAATTTCCACCATGCACAGCCTTGGTGTAGGTATCCGGGCAGGTTTGCCCAAGCTACCCAACCCCCTACTGCACACCAGGCCCCGGCTGGTGTATACTTACAATGTGACAGCCCAGGATTTGCTATCACATTCATTCTGCTGGGTAGGGCTCACCTGGCCAGGGCTTGGCAGCTTGCTGCTCATGGAGCCAACCACCACTATCCGTCCCCGGTTGCGTCGCAACATGTGCGGCAGCATCGCGCGGGTGAGCTTGATGGGCCCTACAGCGTTCAACTGTATCAGTGCGTCGGTCACTGCCGCGGTGGTTTCGGAGGCGAGAGCATGCTGACTGGCGCCTGCATGATAAAGGGACGTGTGTATGTGGCGGGATGGTACTTATGCATATGCACGTACGGCTGAGGCTGGCCAGGGACAGCTGCAGGTTGCATAATGGCAGGCACCCACGACTTCAGGAAGCGACGGGCACGGAAGGATTATGATGAACACGACGAAAATGTAGGAGTTCTCAAGCCGCACTATCATATGAACTCAGAAGAACAAGAGGAGAGAGCAACCCAAGAGAGTTACACAGCCGACCGCGGCCTTCCATGTAACGCGCGTGTCACGTGTCTCCCTGCTGATCCATCTTGCCTGCGTTGTGGATGAGGTAATCGACACCAGCGGAGCCAAACGCGCTGTCAGCAGCTGCGGCTGCCATTTCCAGCTCCTCATAAGGGCTACCTAGGTCGAACGGCAGAACAAGCACCCGTTCATCTAGAAGACCCAGAGATTGCTTGACTTGAGTCAGCTTTGAAGTGTCACGCGAGCTCAGGATAACTCGCGCGCCCAAGCTCGCGAAGTACTTTGCCAGGACTGCACCCAAGCCCTGGCTTGCACCCGTGATCCATACCACTTTATCAGTGAAGGCATTGGATTTGTGCATGCCGAGGCTTAAGAGATGCAGATCGGCGTCGGAAAACGCTAAGCGAACAAGTTTGTAGCAAAAAAAAGAGATCGCCGCCCCAACCACGACCAGTGCTGGGTGGCCTAATACGAAGTCTGCAGCAGACATAGGTAGAGCTTTTGCAGGTGGGGTTCTACTCCGGACAGCAGGCAGCTTGCAAACGCGCTGAGGTAACAAATTGGCACGACTTATGCGCAGAACAGACCGCTGATACATTGGGACATGAAGTTGGACCATATGTGATATCGCGTAGGGTTTGCCCTTGCCAGTCTTGCTTCATGTTTTCGACTCCGAAACCGCATACGAAAGCAAATCTTGGCGGCTGTTTGCAACACGTGGACTACGGCAAGCGATATAACTCATGGTATGCTGCACTTCCAGCCTGATGAACAACGCCTGAGTCCTAGTTGCTCCTTTTTGTTGCCAGCTAGACTGGTACAGCAGAGGGCTTGTTGCCAGCTAGTGGAGATGAAGACGGCGACGGAAACGATAATGAGCCTCAGCACGGAGTGCCAGAACCTGCAGCAGAAGGTGATGGAGATATGTTGCGCGTGCCGTCTGTTAGGATTCCCTTGTTTGCACTCATGGCTGTCTATCCGAGGGCGACATTATGAATTTAGCTCTGCTGTCCTGAGAGCTAATCAGACTTTCATGATGAATGACCTTATAGCATCAAGAACTCCGCCTAGCTCTCCCGCTATGACTCATGATCACAGGCTTGCAGACATGTGCAACCGCTGCTGCAAAGCCCCGTGTTTACACCAACAGCATTATGGGCAGTGGGACCATGGCCAAGCTGCCAAGCCGAAGGCTGTAATTCGCAACCGGCGGTTTTCCCTCTGAAGACCAACGCGGCATGGGCACTAAGGACACGGCGTATAATGCACACAAACACCCATCCCCGCTGCTGCTGTGTCATCAAGTTCGGTGCCTTTACGGCACCGTTTGCTAGCTTGATCATCAAGAGCAATCATTCCAACGGTCCTGCCATTCCCGGCAGCGGTTGCAGCGGCTCCGCCGCTGAGTCCTGCAACAGTTGCTGCAAGAACTCCTTGCCGGATGCGCAGCAGCTGCAAAAGCAGGCGGAGGGGGCCCAGCAGCAGGGGCGCCAGTGCGACGGCTTTAGCCAGCTAAAGCATCTGTCCGGAACTTGGATAAAGGTATACAAGGTTTTGGATCTGTGTCCGACTCGGGCCAGGGCTCTTCGTTCAGAAATTACTTCCCTGCGCCTTGGGTTGCTTAGGATGGGCATCTTGCGCGTTTATGCTGGCCCATCCTTCCTGCGAGGGGAATTGGCCGTCTCTGGTGTGGCTCGTCGCTGTCAGGTACTGTGCAACGGCGTGCTAGTACTATGTTATTATTAGCAAAGTAATGCGCTGCAAAAAATTGCAAATCTGAACCTCACTGCAATTGTTTGTGCTGCCTATTACAACAGGCCGACGTTGCCCAGGTCGCTGACTGGCCTCCTGCGCCACTCTCCCCCATGACCATCCTCCAGCGCGCGATCTGCCTCCTTCCCCCACGCCCGCCCCTCCCATGTCTCTTTCCTTCGCTGCATTTTAGAATCGTGAGAGCTCCGATAGCATGGAGAACGCAATGAATTTGATGCGGCTTAATGGAATCGTACGGCAGGTGAGCCTGTTGCTTGTTATATGTTGTGGTACATTTTATGAGGGTTCTGGGGGATTGGGGAAAGATGGGCACAATACTCTAGAATGTCATCCGCTCCCGAGCCCATGCGATCGTCAACATTTTAGGACTGCCGCAAGAGTAAGAGCGGCTTTGCCTTCTGTGCATTTGGGTGCGTGCTGCTTCCTCTCTTTTCTACCGCCGCTGCCGCCGCATCCTTACCGATACTGTCATGGCCTTTCGTACGCCCTCTACCATGCCGTACCTGCGATCAGGCCGTCAAGCTGGTGAAAGGGGTGCAAATCGAGTTTGAACCCGAAAACTTCACCTTCATCGTTTTCAGCTTTATCTCCTGGTTTAAGGTGGGACATGAAATGAACGATGTGGATGGGTTACTTGTCTTCGTAATAGCAATGTCGTGATCTAGTTCAAGGCTGCAGGTGGTGGACACGAATGGCTCAATGAGAAGATAGGTGGATGACAGCTTGCGAACAGCGCCCAGTGACCTACAGGTGTGAAGTTCGGTCATCTTGACAGTCAATGCCTTCGTCGCCTATTTCGTCCTGCTGCTTCTTCCAGTTCAAGAGCGGGCGTGAGTCAGTGTAGGATTCGGGTGCAGAGGCCTCACTTGGTTTTGTGGTTATGACCTCAGTTTTCCCCGCAAATTTTAATACAAGCCATCACCCTAGGAACGCATCTGTGTACCGTCATCGACAGTCTCGATGCCTTCAGTGTCTGGCCCCTCTGTCCCGATTCCCACCACTACAACTAAATTCCGTCAGGTTAAAGAGGTGTATCCTATGAGCGGAGTGGAGCGCAAATTCCGGAGGAGGGACCTGAGGCGAGGTATGTGATCCGGCAGGTAGCTTGGAAGCCTCCTGCTGCTAGGTGGCTACAGTGGTGAGACGATGGGTCTTGTTCCGAGGCATACACGGAAGGATTGTGGTGGTTGAAGTGCTTTTAGCGGGAATTGTGGAAAGGTAGCAGATGCAATAGCATTCATGTATGTGAAGCCTGTACCGGCAATGCAAGCATTCGCTAACCCGATCAGCTTGTAAGGAAGTATCCAAACATTCAACCTGTCGGGACACTGGTCAACCATACGATTTGGACAAGCAAGCGCTAAAGCAAGTAGACGATTAACATATTGCTCCTGGGCATATTTGTGATTAACATATTGGGTCCGTTTGTCCTCGTATGATAGGAGGGGCTGTCGGTCACGTGGAGCAGCACGGGCAGGACATCCAAGTGAAGCTGCGTTGGTGAGCTGGAAAGTGGTTATGGGTATGGACGGGGCTGGAAGGGATCGTTTCCTGCCCATGGCAAGAAGGTTTCGTGTTGTTGATGTTGTTACAGGGTGGTTAAGCTTCACCAGTGGCCTCCTTCCCGAGGCAATTCCCTGCTCTCCCCTGCTAGAGGGGCACCCTAAGCCATTCACCCCATCCGACTTCAGAGTGTACTCTTTGAGTTTGGTAACTCACGACCAGCATCCAACCAAATCTAGCGGATCAACGGCGCGTCAACTTAGTTCCTGGTCAGCTCGCGAGTTGATTTTATCACGTCCTACACCGTCCACAAGATGGGGGGCCACCTCCCATTTCATCACCTCTCAAACACCCCGAGAGGTCGGCAGGCGGATTTGAACCCGGACGCGCCGGGACGCGACGGGAGCAGAAGCCAGGCGTTAACCTCGTGTTGTTATTCAAACTTCGTCCGATGTGAAGGGTGATAGTAGGTAGGAACCCCACATAATCTTGCACGAAACTGCTGCAAGCGCTGGCTAACTTGTCGCAGTTCTGGGAGCAGTCGGCCACCGCGAGTTCAAGATCTTATTGGCAGCTTCGTACGAGTTGGCCTGGATAATGGGCCCAACGCCGCCGGGTTGGAACCTTGCAGTCCCTGACGTAGTCGGTGTGCTTTGCCTCCTTGAGCTTGCGACGTAAATGGTCCATCGCTCCGACAGACGTTTGTTTTTTAACCACCACCTGCCAGATAACCGACCTGTATGTCTGATCGAGTTCTCAACCATTTATGCTGCTGTCCCAAAGCTGCTGACCGCGATTCTGCCATGGCAACCAGCGCACCAATGCCACAACGACCGTTTTGACGTGTACATCTGATACCCCTTTTGGCCGCAGGAACGACCCTTTTGGCGGCCAGGGCAGGGACTGCTTCAGACTGATTGCGGATGATGAACTGCATATTGAGTCTATTATTGAGGTAGGGCCCTGCCCCGTTTGAGGGCCAGTCCAGGGCCACGCAGGTGATGCCAGGCAGTGAGCACGGCGTTCACGTAGCAATACCCATGCCATCCTCGAACAGCATCTATGCAAGCCTCCCTTTGCGATTTTAGAGCTTTTCTTTATAGACGAAGTAGTTGTGTGACCATTGAGGCAGTCGTTTACTGTTTGTGATCGTGATACGTATGTGCGCACATACGTATTTAGCATGCTAAGTTTTCCCGAAGTAAGGACAGCTCCAGGATGATACAAACGTGGACTGACTTCAATGCGGCATTCACAGTAGCGCGTCAACACAATAATTCTTTGTAACCGTGTCCTGGCTGCGTGCAAGGAGATACAGGTATATGTGTATTCCCCACACGGCAAACCCACCCCCGAAGACGCTGCGGACGACTACTGGTGCACAACGTATAAATGTTGATAAAACCGGGCCATATCCGCACTTGTAGGTTGCCGGCCAGACCGCCCGCTACGTTACAGTGTACAACAGGAAGCCCAGCTAACGCAAACAGCAGTCCCAGGACGGGCGCCACACACATCGGGTCTCCATGGATGAGGCTGCCATTGAAGGTCTTGGCAATGACCGTGGCAGCCAGCACCATGGCGGCAAGAAGTGACGAAGGGGTCCAAGGATTGAGATCAGATGAGCAGACGAGGTGTTGAAGATGGGACTGCCTGTGCGATCCAGGACGTGAAGGCAGTCCAAAGTCCAAGGCGAGGGAGGTGCCGTTGAGCCGTAAGGCGGTCCAGCAGCAGGAGCATGGTCTTACCATGGAGCGGGGTATCCGGGTGTTGTAGGCATAACCCTTGCCTAGATTGGCGAGCTCTGTTGGGCGGATGGAACTGTTCCAGAAAGAGCGGACTCACATGGATGGAGATGTTAAGACGTATGCAGTAGGCTTACTAGGTTTCGAGGGTGTTAGCTGCGGGGTGGAATCGATCTGCTTCATCTGCAAGTCGAAGAGTCCGAGGTTTGTTCTGATGTTGTGGAGCCGGGGCCTGTCCTTGAAGCCGCGTTGATCACAGGCGGGGCGATGGCTTGATGGAGACATAGATGTAGTGAGCGACCTGGGCGTATTGTAATGGGTTGCTCGTGACGCAAGAGTCTGGAAACAATTTAAGCGTGGCAGGTGCATGCATATCAGCAATATGTGTTTTCGTAGAAGGCAGGGATTCAGGTCGAGTTTTTGTAGGCTGGGGTGTTCGACAGAGCAGCAGTCCCATCCAAGCGTGTACATATGGGATGCCAGGTGTGCCGTCCAGACGGGTGGTTAGATGTGCAGTGCAAGGCAAGTACTTGCTCGGATGCTTGGGGAACGAAATCACCAACACTCCGTCGGAGCTGTATTCGCTGCGCTTACACTGAACCATGAACAATTACTTTCCAGCTCTCACTCGGCGTGTTGGGGTTCTGGCTGTGCGCCTAGATGATGCAAGCTGCCGGTCTGTGTTTGAGATAATGTTGTTTCAGCCTGATGTGCAGCTGCACCATTTGTGCACTACAAGATAGAATAAATCTTAGGGCTCCAGTGTAGTGTTGAATTCCTACCTTGACCTTGATGGTGTTTGGCAGATGTGAAGTTCCTTGGACGCATCCTGGCGACGCCCTGCGTCGTTTCAGCCAAATCGTCGGTTTTTCAAGGCAATGCGCGCGTACTTGATGTGCGGATTCGATGCGGATGCTATCCACACATTAAGCTTCTTACCGCCAACACACTGGCTACACTGCCGTACACGCTCTCTGGGCGTTTTCGCTCTTTTACTGCGAGCTTGTTCGTTATTGATCGCCACTTGATCAATTGATGTTGAACAATTATGTTTCGTGATGAATGTTTAGAGCTAGGATGACGACGTTGGCCTATGTAGGCATGCCAAAGCGCTAAGCCGGACAATGGTCCAGCAGGGCAGCGAAGGCCTGGTGGTTTAGGAAAGCTGGCGCACCCAGAGGCATCTTCTGCAGCAGTGCATGGACAGTTACGGGCCTGTGGAAAGAGGCAGCTCGCAAACCAGTAGTCAAAATGTCGTGCACGATTGTTCGTCGCAGATGTGGATGGAACCGTGAGCTGGTTATGCGGCCGGATGGGAAAATGAAACGGAGTGCAGTGTGGAGCCTCGTGTGAACTATGGTGAATTGCACGATCGAAACTTGCCTATTTTTGTACGGAATTGAATGCACGCCTCTTGAACAGATATACACTATTGGCATGGTGCCCGTACACCGATGACTCTTTCAAATGTTTTTCTTATGTATCATTAACACCTTTTTTGTACCATCGTGGCTTATGGGCCATGCAACGAACGCTGCCTTAGCGACGGCTTCGTAACATCCCATGGGCCAAAATGCGCGTAGACCATGTGCATGGAGAGAACTAATGTAAGCAGTCATCCTTCGTCTGTCCCGACCTGAGACCTTTCATGCAGCCAGAGCAGAGTGTGGCTGTAGTCTATGTAGCTGCAGTTCGCAGGTGCATGGCAAGACGACGTCGACACCAAGACCGACTCCTCCTGCCTCGTCAAGGTGGACGCGCTGTCTTCTTGTGGCGTCATGATGCTGCGCGTGCAAGTCACCTTGAGTTTTGTGTGACTTTTGCAGATACCTTGGGTCTGGCAGGAGTACTGCCATTTCACGCCAGCCAGGCGTCCTGGATGCGAGGACGGTGGACCAGTGTTGCGTGCGGTGTTACGGATCGATGTTCACCGTGAATTGCATCCAACCGCCCGCTATAGCACAAAGCGGGATGCAGTGTTTCCATACCCTTGGCCGGCAGGATGATGGAAGGTTGCAATTGGGAGTTTGCCGCTGTTGTGTAGTAGAAGATGAGTTTCATGTGCTAATGAAATGCCCGGCCTATGGACCTGTTCCGCATGAGGCTGGTTTGCTCGGTGCCAGGCCATTCTCCTCCGAGGCTTACCCTTAAGCAGTATGAAATGCCCGGCCTATGGACCTGTTCGGCATGAGGCTGGTTTGCTCGGTGCCAGGCCATTCTCCTCTGAGGCTTACCCCTAAGCAGTATTGTGCAGATGCGTGCCTCAGGTTAGTGGACAGGTTTGCGGAGTACGGCTTTGGGCCTAATTGGCTCCTTCCTGCGCCTTTCGGATCCGCAATAAAAGGACAATCCCTTTATAATATGCAAACAACCAGTTAACTACCTTGGACCTAGGTACTTGTACTGTGGTCATTTCAGCTCGTGGTCAAGGTTTGCAGGACCCGAGCCCCTCAAGGGTTTCAGTCCATCCTGATATAGTTACTGATATCTCCTTTGCCACGTGGTATTGGTGTTGGCTTCTCATGATAACTAAGGTGGTGATAGGGAGCTATCATGAATCAGCTACCCCATTGGGCCCCAATCACAACGTACTACCTAGAAGCGTAACCGCATAGCCGCCAACCTATATTGTATTTTGCCATAGGCTTAGTTCACACGGTGTCAGCCAGTGCTTGCCCTTGCTCACTCCCTAAGTCGACGTCGACTTGGCATGACGACACGTGCTAATTCCGGCAGTGGCTGCTATTCCTGGGTTTCTGTCACGCAAGTCAGGACATCGGTGGCCAGTTGCTATACATGGTTCCGTACTTGGTTCCGCTCCAAAAACAAACTATTTGCGAATGGTTGGCTTGACAGGTGTCTGTTGTAGTCGTTCACTGTCGGAAAGAGTAACGAGTTGTATGCTAGACGATAAGGAGGAGCCGAGTGAACTTTGTGCAGACAACCGCAGCGAATGCCTCACGCAACAAGGCTCTTGGTTTTTTAGTTCATAGCATTGAATGATAAAAGTGGTCACAGACGGCCTACAGTATTAGGAAGAGGAGTTGCTTTTTAAGACCGCCAACTCGGGCTAACGGTTATCTGCAGTATCCTTCTCCTAAGTGTACCTGAGTTCAGAGCTTGACATTAGAGTGTCGCTGGCGCAGGCAAGCTGCGCCAGCCGTCAAGTGATGCAGCACTGATCCCTCCTTTGGTGAAAATGTCGGGCGGCGGCATGAACGTTAACCGCGAAAGCCTCGTATCGCGGCTTCAAAGCTTGAACGTCAGCCAGCAGTCGATTGAGGGCACCTCGAAATGGTGTCTCTTCTACATTAAGGATGCGAAGTCGGTGGTCAACATTTGGGTGGAGGAGTTCGGCCGGACAACAACGGAACGGAGAATAGCTTTCCTGTACCTGGCGAACCACATCCTGCAGGTGCGGCGCTGAGGCTGCTTGTCGCTGTCCACGCGACAGAAACAAATGATTAAGGCATTCCGATGAGTTGCGACAAAGCGCGGGTGGGCCCGTTATTCATATATTGCGTGGAGAATTCTTGTATAAGCGATCGGTTGTCGTTACGGCAGTGTACTTATCCTCGTGGTGGCCTACCAATCTGCGTGTTACTGAACGCGACGGAACATCAACGCCGTGCGGCCCAGCGCTGGCGTCGCCGTTACTATCCTGTTAAGAGTTGCCCATCCGGTTCACCGGTTTCATCCGCCTATCCCTTTACTTAACTCAGGAGGGCCGCAAGAAGGGCCGTGAGTTCGCAGACGAGTTCTTTCGAGTGCTGCCCAAGGCGCTAGCCTCCGTCAGCCGCTCCTCTGACGCGAAGTTGCGCAACTCCGCCAAAAGGCTGGTGGACATTTGGGATGAACGCAAGGTGTGGCACAGGATGGAGTGTGCGTTTGCGGCGTTCCTTTGGGTTTCTTGAGGGGGTGGTATCTATGTACTGAATCTTAATCAAGAGCCTTCCATGATAACACCCTTAAGGATGATCCTGAAGACCCGGATAGAAGCTTGATAGGTTCCAGTGAAAATCCCAGCTTTCCACCTAAAACTCGAGATTGTGAGGGGGCCATATCTGTAAAGTGACCAGTGAGCGTCCAAAGCTTACGCGGGGCTTGATTGGCTTGCCCGTGCATCCACATATTTGAACGCTCGTAACCTAAGCGAACGCGGATGTAGTCATGAGGGATTCTGCCTATTTGCCAGTCCCGCCGGCGGAGCCCCTGTCTGCAAGGCAAGGCCCAAACCATGCAATTAAAGTTCCGTTGGAATGTTTTGGTGAAATTGCTAAGACAGATTTTGCTACCGCGTGCACAGGTGTTCGGATCAGCTCAGGTGCGGGTGCTGAAGGAGCACTTGAACGGAGGGGGGGGAAGCACGCCCTCCAAAAGCAACTCTGGCGGCACCGGTGGCAATGCTGGTGCTGACAACGCCGTTCCCAGCACAGGGAATGACCTGGATCGACGCAAGCTTGCGGCCGTGGGTAGCTTAGCTGATGTGCTGTACGAGGTAGCGAATGCGGCAGCGCGCAGCAGCGAATGGCAAACTAAGTGCCTGCAAATCAAGGCGGTGAGGCGGATGTGGGTGCGCCTAGCCGGGCATGGAAGGGAGCGGCTAGGTATAGAATAAAGGAATCGGGGCCAAAGGGTGAGAGGTAGATTCCGGGCAACAGGACATGGCGAAGGTGGGCAGTGCTGTAGCTAAGACGCGGCCGCGGGTGTGGGGTGCTTACTGGAGACATTGGTGGAAAGGAGAAACTGGAAAGGCAGGAAAGAAGACAGCTTTTCGTCGCTGAGTTGTGGATTGCCTCTGTTGCACCCTTTCATCCACCATCCTCCGGCCGCATCATCCTGCAAAGCATCTTGCATTTCCCACCTCATCACCGCAGCTGCTGCTGCTTCTGGGTGCTGTTTCCCGGCCCTCTTACGCGACCAGGATTTGGCCTCTATGGACGCCTCTCTGACGGAGGTGGCAGCCGCTCGCACGACTCTGGCCACTGCGCTGGAGTGCCTCAAGGCCGAGAGCGAGCGGCGCAAGAAAGCCGTCACGTACATACGGATGCACCTGTCACAGCAGGTGGGCTGACAGCGATTACTGGAAAAACAGATGATAGTGCTGCGATGGGGCCGTGGCCCGGTAAATGGAGCCCGGATTATCGGTTCCCACAAGGTTTTATTTGCGAGAGGAGATTAAAGCGCATTACAAGGGGGGAAGTACAATGGTGCCAACGGGAATTGAGACGGCTTATGCTATGAGTTGGTGCAGCCAAAAAAACGTCTTAAAGACTTTCGAGGGCAGTACGTGGGAGCTGGGAAGCTGAAGGTAGTCCGAATGTGAGCAGTGCGGGGTTGGTGAGCGCAGTGATACTGCCGATGAGCTGGCGCCCTGACCGTATAAGAGCTGATGTGGTCATGGCGTAGGGATGGTCCAATGCTGGCTTGTGATTATCCCCACTACGCTAGGACACATTTCTCTTTCCTCTTCTCCCCAGACTTTTCACTTCAGCAACTTGCACCTTCATCCCCAGGAGGATAGCTTGAAGCGGACCGAAGACGCCCACGCGGCGCTAACGGCCCAGAAGGGGGAGCTGGACGAGCGGCACGCGGCGTTGTTAAAACAGGTATGTGAGGAGGGTTGGCGGTTCCCGTTCTCTATCTGGGAGAGTCTTGGGGCCGGGGAAGCAGGGTTGGCCGGGTTATCTATTCTTGCGCCAACGCAAAATGGGCAGATGCTAGGGGCTTTGGGGATCCACGTGGTTTGCCAGCGAAGCCTGGATTTCACCGGATCCCTTCTTGTTACCCGGTTCCCTCTTGTTACTCTTATTTCAGGAGCAGGAGCAGCAGGAACGAGAACAGCGGGAGCGGGAGCTAGAAGAGGCATTGCAGCAGCAGCAACAGCAACAAGAGAAACAGCAACAGGAGCTAAGGCAACAGCAAGAGCAGCAACAACAACAGCAGCAGCAGCCAGTAGCCATGGGTGGGATGGGAACTGACGGGCCGCCCCCCTTCCTGGGGCTTCCGCCGGTGAGTACGTTTGCCATCCCCGAAGGGAAGAAGGGGCTATTTGCAGCAACAAGGAGGAAAAGCAGCATTGGCGATTACCTGGGCTCCGTGGCCGTTTACGCGCGCTTATTCGCCCTTACTCAAAAGTGATAATGCGCCCTGCTTCGGTGCTGATTGTGTTGCCCATTCCGTGCCCTCGCTGTATTTCAGGGTGGCCTGCCGGGTATGCCCCCAATGATGCCTCCGCCCTTCCCAATGCCCGGCATGGACCCGTCCGCGCCGCCTTTTGGACTGCCTGGCATGCCGCCATTCCCAGCCGCGCTCCTGGGTCCCATGACTGGTATGAATCCCCTTGGGCCCCTACCGCCCTTCCTGAGCCCCATGCCTGGCATGAACCTCAACATGCCGCACCCGCCGGGCATGAATCCCATGACCGGTCCTGGAGGGCCGATGAACCCTATGGGCGGTGGAGGCGGTGGCGGTGGAGCACCACCGGGAGGCGGCACGATGGGTCAGCTAGTTGGCGGGCTACCGGATCTCGCCGGCGCGCTGTCCGCGCTCAGCGCCACGGGCTTTGGTGGTGTAGGCGGTGGGGGTGATTCTGGGACGGCAGGGCCGACAGCCAACGGTTCTCAGCCTCCGCAGCAGCAGCAGCTGCAGCCGCAGTCTTCCGGTGGCGGCATGCCGCAGGTGCATGGCCAGGCGCTGCCAGGACCACAGGGGTCGGGGGGTTTGCCGCACTCACATGGCGGACCAGGGCAGACACCGCCGCAACAGATGCAGCAGCCGGGTACGCCTTCATCGTGCGGTTGAGTGTCCTTGAGTGCCATGGAAGGATTTTTCCCGGGTGTTGTATCCGGTTTTGCCGCTGCAATGTATCCCGGGGCAGGGTTGCGACGGCGCGTAGATAGGGGTATGGATATCTATTCGGGGTATTTCCGTATCTTGGAGGGTCGCCAGGCTTGAGCTGGTGCAGGGACCTGAGTACATGCGAAATTCCTTTCAGTCCGGTGGGCCGGCACCTGTTTCGTTCCAAGGCTAGGCATCCGGCGTTCTGTCCATACCGCATAGGCCATTTGAACCGATATGTGGTCCTTGTTCACTGCCACTTGACAGGAGCGCCATCTCACCATTCCGCTGGGGCCCCGGCGCATCTCCACACGACCGGTGGAGCTCCTGCGGTTGGTGGTCACCCGCCGCAGCTGCACCCGCCGGCTCCAGGGCCGGGTCCTGGGCCCGGCGGCGGCGCTGCCGCCCCCGGGGGCCCAGGAGCAACAGGCCCCGGCGCGCCGCCGCCGCTTGACCCCGCAGGTATCGACCAGCTGGCGGCAGCACTAGCGAACAACTCGGACCAGACCGCTATGCTGCTGGCGAATGCCTTCGCAAGCATGAGCCAGGTACGTGTCGGGACGTTGTTGGGAAAAGGGACAACGGTTATAACTTATCTTGTGACAAGGAATGTCGTGTATGCACAAGGTAATGTGTACAGCAGAAGGAGGTCTCAGGCTGTGGTAAAGCCGGGTCTACGTTGTGTTAAATAGATGGACCATTATGTCCGCGGGTTATGCACTGACGCCTTGCGTACCTTGCTGGGTTTCGGCTATTGTCCATGCCCTACACTTAAGTACTCTCGTGCGTACCAATTCGAGACCGCGTGCGGTCCTTGTTCTCATATGTATGGGTGCACAGGAGGAGCGGGATCGGCTGGGTGCCAACCTTGGCGACATGCTTGGTTCTGGTGGCGGTGGAGGGCCAGTGCCCCATCCGCCTCCGCAACAGTCTGCTGTTCACCCCGCTTCGCACCCGCATCCCCACCCGGCCCCGCATCCCCACCAATCTACGCACTTTCCGCCACCGCATCCTCACCCCCACCACCTACCGCAGCACCATCCGCTGCCGCCTCAGCAGCAGGCCAATCAGGGGATGGGTATCAGCGGCGGGTTTGGTGGGAGTCCTATGGGTAATGGCGATGGCGACCCCATGGATGCACCGTATGATCCGGAGTTTCCGGATTAATTTTCCATACTGCTGTACAGCCGCCCGGGTTGCGTCTCGTCTGGGCCAGTCGTCTGCGAGCGCCTGGGTGTCATGACTGCTCGTACAGTGTCTGTTATCCACTGTGGGGACAATGCAGGAACTTAACGTTGTCATGTGTTCACTCGTGGCTTCTTGCTGTCGTACATTCACTTGTAGCTTCGTGTTGTCGTACATTCACTTGTGGCTTCATGCTGTATTTGCTATGTCGTCGTGGAACGAGGGGCCCGCTTCCGTGCAAGCTTGGTGGGTCGGTATTCGTGCCGGCAGGCAATCGTGAACTTCACCCAGTTGGTACTTGTCTCGACTCCTGTTGCGTCGCCTTGCATGCCATCGACGTCGCTGGTAGTGTGGTGCCTGTGATGGAGAGGTTGGTTTCCTAGTACGGGCATATTTCTTCTAATGCTCGTCCGGGGCGCTAGCAAAGTGGCATGGCATGGAGAAACGTTCTTTGGCCGCCGCAGAAGCACACAATAGTCCTATTGGAGGCTGGTCGGTCGCTTTGGAACAGCGACCAGAGCTATGGTGGCATAGTCCCATAACTGTTCCCAGTGCATGCATGTGAGCTATGATTCACTACCTGTGTTACACTTGGTCTCTCGCGTTGCCGGCCTTTTCGGCGCTTGCCCCTCACCTTTGCCGTGAACTCTTGACTCGCGCTGGCGATGCAATTTTTGGCTGCGCTTGTTTGCCTGCGGTTAACACTGTGTCGGGGCTTGCCTCGCATGGACCCCAGGCTCCGATTGAGGGCTTATGTCGGTAAGGCTGCACGAGGTGTGAATAGGAAAGGTACTCGGAATTGTAGGGGGCTTCGTTCGGCAAATCCTGCCAGCTCACACTCTTATGTAAGGGACGACGCCGGTACTGGGCAATATGCGGTGGATAGTTGGTACATAAGGGAAGTGAGAGGAACTGTCTGGAGGCGGCTTTTCCTGCCCTCATATTTCACACGCATTGTTGCGACGAGTGCACAAGGGACCCCGAACTCTATTTCCACGGAATCCGGTTTCCATTGCTTGTATGGGGGTTTGCTATGGCCATTACGGGCGTAAGGCAGTGGCTAAACCGTGTCCTAGATTGTTACAGGCTTGCACATGGGAATGTCAAGGCAGGATGGGTTTGAGAACAGTCAAGGCAACGCACAAAAGGGTTGTACACCAGCGAACGCCACATAACAATCGGTTGCCTTTCTACGCCGCGCGGCTGTGATAGCCGACATCCGTACACATCACTGCGACATATCGCAGAAGCATTTGTAACGATATGTGATTTTCGACAACAGGGTGATTGAATGAATCCGAGCAGATTCATCGCGTTCAACGTGGCCGCCAGGCAAAAAATAAAAACTGACGCGTAAATCATTAGTGTGAAACTGTTTGACCCGCCGACGCAATAGTTGATGCAGCAGAGATACGCATCTTGTGCACGCTTAAAGTAGGAAAATCAACACTGCGCTGACTTTTCTTCCTAGAAGCCATGCCAGTGACCGCAATAATACGGTCTAAAGAGGTTAATGGCTAGATTATAGCGTTACAGCCCCGGTGCCTTCCCCCCGAACGAGACGCAATTCGGATTAGTCACAGGGCTGCTTACTGTTTGGTAAGGTACGGCACCACAGTTAAACAGGTACTGCTAAACTGGTCATGGCGCACACAGTTGTCGTCAGCCTTTGTGACTCCATATTCATATTCAGTTAGGGCGCAAGCCAATGTTGCAAGTCATGCTGCATGTTAAAAGATTACAAATGACCTGGTGACAACCGCCATCGCCAAACGGCATCTAGTTAGTTCGAGGCGCGATGGCCTATGGGGATACGGGACTATACATCAACGAACAAGATACTTCACATGATGGGATCCTCACCCTCGTACAGGCCTCGTGCGCAATGCAGGGTAATGTATCCGAGGGACCACTCAAGCCCTAGCTCAGATTTCGTATGCACTAGACAAGGCCCGGTTGCCGGGCGCCAGTAACTGCACTCCTCCAGTGCACATGGGACAATGACGCTCCGCCATGACGTGACTCGCTCAATCCCTTACTGGTCTCCTGCGGCGCGTTAGGACTCGAGAGTTGGGCCCTGCACCTCCACCTCCGCAACGAAAAGCGCCCCCACTCAACCCCACCCAAGGAGAGCAACGATACGGGATGATCGTCTGGTCTCAACCCAAGACACGACTACCCGGACAACCGTCCACACAACCATCCTGACCCCCACTCTGCAATCTCAAACTCGTGCGCAGCAGGCACGCACACAGTTGACATCCGGGAGTCTTGGCTGGCAAAGCTGGCGAGCACACAGCCCAAAGGGATACTAGCGAGGGGAAAGGCACAAGCGAATCTTCTACAATCTAACGTTGCTCTGTTGCCGTCCGCGTCCACAGCAACCACCGCCTTCCATACAGCTAAGTCAGATGCAGGAGTTTAAAACTTGAACACGCTGGATGAGTCATAGCCCAGCTCCTTGAGCAAGCCCTTAACCTCACCCTGAAGGTCAATCGCAAGTGAGGATACGGTAGAGATGGCGGGGAGTCAGGCGCCAGACGATAAAGGGACAATTACTGTCATAAAGCGGCCTGGCGCGATTCAGGTATCAACCCATGAAGGTATTAGCCAACAGGAAAGCGCTGTTGTTTAAAGACAACAGGAAAGCGAAACCTTCTCAGGTGGCTCCAGTTTCCGGGTTTGCACGACGAGTGGGAGATGGGCAGATCTGGCAAGTAGCAAGGACAGTTAGCGGGAGCCGGCGGGGTTCCGTGAGCGGTCCTTAAGCCCCCAGTTGACCACTGACTCGCGTTGTGTGGGCGACTGGGACCCCAACGTCTGTTTTCCCGCAACGGTTGCGGCCGTGCGCCGCCGCACGCGTGCTGTAGGGACAATCCAACATGCCCATCCACGCACCTGCGAGTAGTCAGGTGCCTTGTTGCCCGACACTGCCTCCATCATACCCGGAGGGCCACACACCATCACCAGCGAATCCTTGGCGGGGGCCGGCAGGTGCTTGGATAGCATGTCCTTAGTTAGGTAGCCAACGCCACCGCGCCAGAACAAACCGCCCCAAGCAGGCTTGTCAACCACGTAGTACACCTTGAAGCGGCCCGGGTGTTGTGCGGCTAGAGCGTCGATTTTGTCCTAGGTCGAGCAGGAGATGATGACGGTGGCAGAGTTGGCGGGATAGAGCAAGGATTTGGAGCCAATGGCATTTTGTGGGAATCCATAGGGCCCAGAGGAAGGAGAGGAACGGCCGGTGAGTGGTTCGGGATAGGGTGTAGGATCAGAAGGAAGATGCAGGAAATAAAACCGAGGAGGCCCGTCGCATCTCGGTTCCCTTGATCCCGCACATAGGAACCCAATCTGGACCGCTCTGCGGAATGAGGCCCAACATTGGATTGCGGCGGTCTATGTCTGGGTATACGAAGTACCTTTCCATGCCCGGCAGCCAGCACCCAGTATCCTGCCCTATACCTGGAGGATAATGTCCGACTCGCTGACGTTGGCATACACCAGCGACACCTGCCGTGCAGCAGCAGCGATGGGAGGACAGGGATGTGGTAGGAAGCGGTCATGGTGATGCAGTATTGGGGTGCCAGCGGTTGCGATGACGAGTCTTGAGGGACTCCGGTTGGAATCAGGATTTAGTGAAGACACACATAAGCCCCCGACCAGGGACCCTTCCCCTCCACCTCAAACCCTTTCCCCCCCCTCTCATGCCAGGTGCCCCACCTGCGTCTTGTCATTCGGGTTGTCCAAAATCGCATCAATGACCTGTAAAATCGGTCGGAAGTTGTCAGGTGTGGTTAACAGGGACAGACTTGGCAACCGGTATAAAATGGTGTTTCCAGGGGCCTACACCAGGGCACAGAACACAGGCTGCGCCGCTGCGGATGGGATGGGGCCCCGTCTGGGTTCAGGACTTAGGCGGCTGCCAAACGAACACATCGCGGTTCATCCTGTAAACCCGCAGTGACAAGGGCGCCCGCAGCCGTACCCCCACCTAGCTCCCCACCCACCTGCAGCATTGGGGTGATGCCAGTTCCTCCCGCCACCATACCAATATGCTTCTTAGTGTTGGCTTCGTAAGGGTATTTTTTAATGGGCCCCTTAATCTCCAAACTGTCACCGATCTGGGATGCACGCGAAGGCAAGGGCACGGGAGGAGGTTGCGGGGGCGGATGCGGCCTCAAGACTAAGACAAGAGGACCCCAGTAGAGAGGGCCGCAACGCAGCAGGAGGAGAACAAGGAAGCTATGGCCACAAAACAGATTGGCGACAATGCAGTGAGACGAATAACGGCGGTGGCAATATAACCCATGTTGCAGGAAACTAACGACACTCGCTGCCGTATGGAATACCATACATGAAGGCGCAGCCCAAAAGGTTTAAAGCAGTAGCAACAGCACCGTACAGTCTGCAAAAGACCTGGCCGAAACGCACCTTGAGGGAGTCGATGTGCTTCGACATGACGCCCTGCAAACGAACATCGGCCCATCCGCACGGGACATAGAAGGCAAGTCCACGTAAGTTAGCAGGAAGGAAGGAAGAAAGGTCAAGAGGCACGGTCCGTCGGTGGAGCGGCTGGGACGTTGGGAGCTACATGGCTCTAGCTGAGTCACTACCTACGTGGCATCAGGACGCCCATACGACACGAGGGCTAGGGCCAGGGCACAGCGCCGCATGCACCATTAAGGAGAGCCAGGTAGGTCCAACGCGCTTTGGCCGATCACGCCGGTTTATCTGGGGATTAAGTCCAGACGGACGTAATCACGAACCCCAAACCCAATCCTGACACAACCAACCAATGAAGCACCCCAGCGCTTCATGACCTGTGTCCCGCACCTTGTCGTACACCTTGACGACAAGGTCCAGGTAGCCCTTGGCATCCGGTGGCGAAGTCGGGGTGTACGGCCGAATGACCGCCTTGGGTTTCTCATCCTCCGGTTTCGCCTTCAGCATTGCGCTGCGGAAGCAGAGGCAATGCAAAAGCAATGCACGCATACTTGCAAATCACATCAGCTGTGACTGGAGTGAGAGAAGAGCGTACCAACCAAGCTGCGTTCGCTTGGGGGTCTGCGGAACCAGAGAAGGCTCAGGTAGGAGACAGGGTTCTGCAGGGATCCTGGCTATTAGCTACCCGACTGACTGCCGCTGGCATCATCCGTTGGGACACGTACACGTCCACACAAACGCAGCCAGCAGGCACACGCTTGCCCCACTCCCAGCTCGCCCACAACTCCCCCTTTCTGCCCTCACCGAGTCACGAGGCATGAGGCCACGAAGATGCCCGAAGTCTGACCCTCCGGGAGCTCGAACCTGAATCATCCAGATAGATGGGCCCGGGGGAGGGAGCGAAGTGGTCATGCAAGCGGGATACAAAGCCGCCCTACAAGCAGGTCCTTGGCTGACCTGGAGTTGGGGACATGCTACTCGGTCAAGCAGGTGACCGTTTCATGCAGGCTAGGGAAGGACGGGAACTTCGTGGTGTTGCGGGTTAGTGGCTTGGGTGCTTGAAGGCCCTGAGATCCCCCACAGGTGTAGAGCGGTGCCATGGGACGCCGTACCTATACAAGAAAGTGTTCCGCGTGAGCTGCCGCTTCTCCTTCAGCTTAAAGGCGCGGAACTCGTTCGGATCCAATGCACCCTTGCCCGCTGGCGCATCCGCATGTACAGCCTGCAATTGTACACCATTGGAAAGACCTATAATCAATATATTTTATTAGGAAGATAACTAATGAACGCTGCGGTGACATAAGGGCCGTGACGCCTTGCAAAAATCGCATTACTGAAAGCTGTATCTTGCTGAAAGCTGTATATTTGTCAACATTTAAAAGGCGTTTTTTTATATGTCTACTCATGCCTTTCCGGTACGCTTGTCGGAACAGGAAACACCGATAGTGACTGAAAACGCTCACCTTAACGGCTAGCTTTTCATCAATGTTCAGAGCTGCATATGCAGTGCCAGAAAGGGCTGCGGCCGCAAGGATGGAGCTGTATCCCCGCCGGGAGCGCGCTGCGTAGGCAAGCATTTTTTTAAAAATTCCTGTCAACCACTTCCTATCAGCCAGAAGTTAAAATACTTCCTCTGCCGTCAAAGAAATGAAAGCGCCTCCGGAGCCGGCGGTTGTCAGTTAGGGTCGTCCTTGCGATATATCCTGCGAGAATTCAATTTAAATTTCAGAATCTGCAGCTTAAAGGCCTAAGTAACCCTAAAGGTTCAAGTGTTCAAATCAACGCGTACACCATACGTTGTGGGTTTACCATCCATTTGCATCTGGCGGGTGAAGGGAACCTTTCAACTATATAACAGTGAGCTACGGGATATAGTAATTCGGCAAGGCAAACAAGCTTTCCGTAGCAGCAAGCGCGACCTTTCAAGCAAGCCGAGAACCATGCCTAAACGAGGTGCGCGCTTTGGCACCGACCATCTTCCCCGGGCACACGACCACGGCTAACATGCTGGTTCTCATCTGTAAGACGGCACAGAATTATCGTTCAAGTGCGTTGAGCTACCTCTTTCGCCTTCACGGTTTCGTTTCCCGCCTCTGTCGCGTTTGCCATGCGGCCCGTTTTGCGCATAGACCCTCGTGTTGATGTCGCAACAATGATCTTGTTTGTGCAGGATAAAAAAGACCCAGGCTAACCCATTAGAACCTTTGCGGACGTATGCTGCCATGGAATCTGCAAGAACTCTTTTCACTCAATTCTTCGGTTTTCTAACCCGCTGCCACGTCGATGCTGCATCCCTTACAACCAATTGACAGCCAAAAGAACAGTGAACTGGCGCGTAACGGCAACGGCCTTGGCAACCACAACTCGACCGCCATCGCACCCTAACATGCGAATCTTCTCTGTCGGCTGCTGCACCTTCCCTCCTGTTCTTGCAGCTGCTGCCGCCCTCATTGCCTCTATGGCCAATGCCAAGATGGCCAAGAAGATGTCAGGTCCTCGTGTTGATTCGGCCACCGGGTGGCGCCGTCGCACCCTGCGACTCGTGGACCTGTGCATGAAGTGGGATGCAGAACACGTGCTCTGCAAGTACGTAACAACAGATGAAGATCTGGGTGGTTTGATCCTTCTTCGGCAGTCCTAAAAGGCTCGGTAGCTGACCTTTAGGAATCATACAGACGTACATGCTCCTCGTCTCGTGTGATTTTGGGTCTTATCCTTCATCTTGATCTGTCGTGATTTACAAAATCTGCCAATATGGCAAATCATTCCTTTCTGTCGAACGCGACACACATCTTGTCCACGCTGTCTCTGTGCCGGCCACACCCCGGGGTCTGTTCCCGTGCCGCCTAGGGCCATGCGGCGGTGGCCTGTAGCCGCCCTACTGGAGGCCACGGAGAGCTGGACTGCCGACATGTTCGCCTTGGTTGCCCGCGACTGGAGGATTAAGAAGGTGCGAGCATGCCTGGCACCTTGAGCCCGTACGTACGTGTACGGCGGGCGTTGTATAAATAAATGTGTGCGTCCTATTGGTAAAGCTCAACTTACCAAGTCGCCATAATGTGAAGAGCAATATGCAGAGGTCTAATTTTACACTCAGCACGTGTTTCACACAGCCGGTTTGCATGCAGAGGTCGCGACTGCAGCCTTAGATGGGCATGTACACATATGAACATCCAAGTGTTATCTTTTGATTCAACTCTTGCGCCTCTTCCACGTAAGTATTTCAATATCCCGATTGTGTCTCGCTTGGACCTGTCCGTACTCGTACATGTATCTCCAGGTGGCCAGGCTGTTGGAGGCCAAGGGCCGGGCCTTCACCGTGGAGTGCTGTGCCGAGTGGGAACCTGAGTTTCTGCAAGTAAGTCGAGCTGTCGCTTGCGGCTCGAAACGGGAATTGTTTTGTTGAGGATTGCGTTTGTTTTCTGCTTACCACCAAGTAGTTCGGCAATTTGGGCCCGTCTGTTAGGTGGGAACCTTTCTCACGTGCCAGATGGGGTTCGCAAGCTGGGCTTATGTGCAAACTGCGGCTTGGACCTGAGCCTGATGTAAGTGCCCACTATTTTTGGAAGCATTCCCGGACAAGCCTCGTCTCTTGCTACGTTCCTCTTAGGTTTTCCTGCCCGAGACGGACCTGGTGACTGCCCGTCACGTGTTGGCCGAGCTTTACTTCAAGTCGGACGACAAACATCTGAGTAAGTATGGAAGATTCCAAATCCCAATGGACTCTTATGCGCCTGTGTACGCAATTTGTGTATTTTCCATGGCATGTGGTCTTCTGGTCGCATTCGGGGCCTATCACTTCATTCCATTATATGCCTACCCATTTATACCCCCAATGCCCTTGACTCTGTTTGCCTATGCTAATTATTGTGCAAGCTAATTACGCTGTGGACATATTCGCCTTAACTTCCCCACTTTTGCCCTTCCTGACCAACTCTGGTTATCATACACTTCAAGGCCCCTGGGAGTGCCGCCAGATTGTAGAGCAGTACGGCCCCAAGTTGCGGCGCAAGCTGCTGCGCAAGTTTTCGGAGCGGGACGTTACACGTGTTCTGCGCGCTTCGCCGGCGGACGAGAGCTCGGACGACGACTCTGAAGAAGAGGATGAGGAGGACGACAGCATGGATGGGTTTATTGTCAGCGGTGGCGCTGACGAAGATGAAGAGGATGTGGGTGACGAGGCGGAGGGCGATGATGAGGACGATGAGGAGGAGGATTCGGACAACGCCGGCGAGGACGAGGAGGGCGATGCCGCGCTCCGCGGTGGTGCGATGCCCATGGATGAGTGCGAGGACGAGGACAGCAGCGATGGGGACGACGTCGGCGAAGACGTGGACAGCAGTGAGGATGATGATGAGTAAAAGAGCTTGCAGGTGTTGTCAGCTTATGTACTGCCGTAGTGTATGGCAGAATCCATGGCTTGGATTCTATTCATGGCAGGGACGGGCTGCATGGCTATGACTCTAGGGGCATTGCCGAGGATGCCTAATGCTCGTGACCATTTTTGCGCAACGGCCTCTTTGCGTTCCTTTTTACCTCTTTCAGTCATGTTGGCCTTTTGGTTGGGGTTAGTTTGCGGGCTTGGACTCGTGGCCTTTAATGTGAGTCCTCTGCTCCGTAGTCTGCTGGGGCACCTGCCGGGTTCCTTTGATCTTGGACCTGGATGGTGTATGTGATGTGCTAAACACTGCAGAGTTTTATTTACTAACGCTGACGACTTGGGTAATGGTGGCTATAAGGAGTGGGCCCGCAGCGTTGTTCAGCCTTGCATTCAAACTGTTATGCTGCTCATGGAACTCAATATCTGGTGAACTCGGTGTTTACGGCGCTTTAATAACCCTTTTCGAGCAGAGGCAGTGCCACAGGTAAATTTTCAGCTTGGAAGGGACGTTTGGGGTACTGCACGCCGGCCTCCGAACGACTGACGCGTGTATGTGTGTGTGTGTGCGTGCTGAGTACTGTGTCGTCGGCCGGTAGGCCTTGTGTAAGATTCCATTAGGCAGCTTCTGAAGCCTCTCCATGGAAATCATCTGTGACCCTTTACTGATTAGTGCCGTCCACTGATACTAGATGGTTAACTCGGTAAATAGTCCACGGACTGTACAACGCGTCTTGGACTGGGAGCAGCTCGCTAGGGACGCACTATCTGCAGTTACTGACGTTGCACATCTTGGCCGGTAGTAATAGTAGGTTTAAAACCAGACTCGGCCATGCCAACCTTCAATACTTGACATCGTGTTGGAGGGATTGCAGATGTATCAATCTGTCGATCAAACGTCTACCTGAATACCATCCCCAAGAATGCTTTCGATGTCCAACACAGTTCACATTACGTGGGTCGCAGCAAGTCCAATTTCTACATAGGTTGTGGTCGTTTGCTTTCCTTATTGCGGCCGAATGCTCAACAGGTGCACCCATGCCAATGTCTGCGACCTACGTATGGTGTTGGTATCCCATATCCACATTTGTTTTTGCAGAGCATTCAACTGCTGAACTTCGTTCTTCCGACAAAAAGAAATATCGATACGGGATACTTTTTTAAGTTTTCTAACAGTTCAATGCCAAGTCTTCGTTCCATCTCGCTTTCGAGGGGCGTAGAGCGGGGGGTAGAGCAGGGTTCTAGTTGGCGGCGTTCCGGTAGGTAGGCTCAGCACCGTTGAGTGAACTGCTTTAACCAGCTGCCTGATCAGGCCCAATCCGAGATGTGTGCAGAGGGTTAGTTGTCGGTGACCATCCAAAGCGTGACGGCGGGTCCTCTGTGGTGACATCTTCTGCATGAGACCGAGCATGCGAGTATCTGTTCCGGCTTCGCGCGAGCTTTCCATTTCTTTCGCTCTCCCGTACATTCCTTAGTACGCAAGGCTGTTCTACGCGTGTCATCTTATAAAATAGTTTCAAGTTCCGTTACCGTGGATCTGATCGAGATCACCGGTGCCGCGCCGCGCCCACTCATGTCATGCTGACCAGGTTGAGGCGAGGTTTTGATTTGATGGTCGAGGTTACGCAAAATGTACCCGTCTGCTCATTGTTTGAATCGCTTATACCGCGTGATATTGCAGACAGGGGTGCGGGCCATTAAAAGGTCATCTTGATTACACCGAGGGAAGCCAGGTCCCGTGAGTAGCCTTCCGCTCAGCCGGTAGCTTGGCCTGCTGGCATTGTTGCACAGGGACCTGCCGTAAGCAGGGCCGGTTTTTGTTTCCTCGGAATTGCAGGTTCGCAGCGCCGTACTGCTGGGAAAGCTTCCGGCCTCTTGGCAAGGCTGTTTTGCGGGGTAGTTTGACAGGGCTCATCGACCACTAGGGACCAGTCAGGTAGAAGGTGCTCCGCACTGTTTGCGGTCCAGCAGGTCGCGAGGGCGAGGAGGGAGCAACTGGGCAAAAGGTCTTCCCAGTAGCCAAGGACGCATATGCTTATGGGCAGCTCGGGGTGGGGAGGGTAAGAGCTCAGCTCAAAAGTGTGCCGAGATCAACTCAGATCAACTCAGATCAACTCCGAGATCAACGCCGGTCAATAAACAAGTCCTACATTGACCCGCAGGGGGACGGGTCCTTTACCCGGCTTCCAAGGAGGTGATACCCTATTTGATTGTTTGTTTATCAACCGGGGCCATGCAGGTGCGTGATTGATGGAACAGGCTAAAGCCGTTGCTTGCGCGTGCCGTCCTGCATGATATGATGTGTGAAACAGGGGGGTGTATCTTCGCCCGTGGCAGCTACCCTGCGAAACCCTGCCTTCCCCGGTATTTCGGGGCACCCTCATCCAGTCACCCTCGTCAACTTCTCAGTGGATCGCTCAGGTTCCGCACCCACCACCAGCATCCAACGGAATTTGCCGGGTCGACAGCGGCCCAACTCTGTTCCTGGTCAGCTCGCAGGTTAACTTTATCCCAGGTCACCACCGTCCATCAACTAGGGGCGCAATGCCTTCCATCATCGGAAGGACTTTTGACCCTAACGGGAATCGATCCCGGGATCTCCGGGGGGCAATGGTCGCGCGTTACCTGTGGTGCCAAACCCTTTGTATATTTGATATATTCCGCACAACTTGGCGTACTGTGACAGGAACTGGTTCGACGGATCTTGTGTGCCTTTCCACACCGAAGAGTGATATCGGGGCGGCTACGGAAGCCTTGCCTGGTGACCTCGCCATTGGCTCTCTTATGACCGCTCATCTACGGATCCTAAGTGGCCACATAATTGGCCACCGCGAATGGACGTTGCCTTGAATACGCTACGAGGAATACATTTACCCGTTCCGAAATGCACTGGACTGTGGTCGCGGGGAAACCTTGGCATAAACGCCGGCTTATGGCAATCTCCAGATCTCCACCATTTTATTTCCCTACATGCTGTTGCAGCTAGCAAGCGGATAACGCGCAAGGCCCTGCGTTAACAAACTGCTTCGTAACGAACTGCTTCCTTGTCTGACAACACCACGCACAGCTGCCCGACTCAACCGTGGCCGACTTGCGTTTCCTATAGCTGCAAGCTATCCGCTTTGCGAAAGGAAGTGCTTCAAAGCGGAGAGAGGACATATGTTTTGCGTCGAGGACCCGCACCCATCTAAGGATAATTAGGATAAAGGTAAAGGTATTTCTATGGGACTAGAAGCTCCAAGGCGGCGCTTTACCTAAGGTTTCTAGAACACTAATACCGCTCGACTTCGGTACCCTTCCGCGGCTCGTGGCCACGTGAAGCCAGCTTAAACCTTTCATTGTTGGGCAAGCAAGAAGTGCCCTTGAGATGAAAGGAGCTACCCTACATCTGGCTACCTACTTGGATACAATGAAGGGTTCCGGACCCGGGAGAGCGAAGGACATACGGATTGCCGTGGCGGTTTTCCGGTATAAACCGATGCTCTTCGCAGACAGGCTGGGCTTCGGTTCAATGGCCTGGAGGATCTGAGTCGTTGCATAGAGCACCTTGGTTTGCACGCTCCAAGGGGATGTCCGCCCTTGGAATTGGAGGAGGCGCCAGCCGGAAGAAACCGACGTCAACTGGTTTGTTATCAGGGGCCACGGACAGCGTCAGAAATTTACATTATGAAAATATGGCAGAGTGTATGTTTGCTGGGGTAAAGTTTGACACTGATGGCTGCTTCATATGGGGCCATGCACCTTCGAAGGGCTTGCATGTCGTACTCAGTACTCTAACCGTCGATGATCCAAAATGGCATTGGTACGCAGAATCGCCCAGCCATTTGCAAGGCAAACGCACAGGTCTCACATATTCCGTGACCTTTTCACGTGCCTGGCGAAAGACGTCAAATCGTCAGAGAGTCCACTCAGCCATCACCCAACCGAACAGACAATAGTTCGCCACTCTGGCCCCACAAAGCAGCATGGCTACTGCAGCCGCAGAGCCTGATCCTCTGCGGGAAACTGGTCGCTATGAGCGCGTCCAGTCGCTTGGGAAGGGCGCGTTCGGCTTCGTGCAGCTAGGAAGAAAGCTACATAACAACGAGCTTGCGGCGATCAAGTTTCTCAAGCGCTCTGATGTAAACAAATACGTGGAATCTGAGATTTTGAACCACAGGTGCGATATTGTTCCCTTTCAAGTGTCTTTCCGGCTTCTGGTCTTTGCGCACTCAACCGAGCTCAACCAAGATGCTTTTCTGCAGCATGTTGCGGCATCCACATGTCATCCAATTTAAGGAAGTATTCCTGACATCGGATTACATTTGCATAGCCATGGAGTACGCTACGGGAGGTAGCTTGTTTCAGTATGTGCAGCAACAAGCTCGTCTAAAGGAAGCAGTTGCACGCTGGTTCTTTCAACAACTTGTGATCGGCGTGGATTACTGCCACAAACGCGGTGTCGCAAACCGCGACATCAAATTGGAGAATACGCTCCTGCAAAAGGTAGATGGACTGCCCCTACCTTTGCTGAAAATCTGCGATTTTGGATACAGCAAGGCGGACATGCGTTCAGCAGCAAAGAGCAAGGTGCGGTGCCTGGGAAGTCTCGGAGCGGCTTCGTTGGATCCTGTTCCTTGGCTGCCTCCACTGGGAAATTTTATCGAGAGGAAAGGGTATTCGTTTGCAGCAATCATTTGCGGTAATCGGTGCATCGTTCAGGTGTGCATACATCCTGAATATCGCGGCACGGAAAAACGTATTCGGCTAATGGTCTGGATACGTGTACGTTTTGAGAGGGACATGAGATCGCGTGCATGGCCAGGCCTGCGCACCCGAACGGCACCTTGCCCCACCGGTAGCCTTCATAGCATGGAGGGTTTCTGTACCGCGACCTCCAGCCTGCACTTTCGCACCCAGATGCTCACAACGCCATGCTTTCGGGCAATCGGCCCTGCAGTATGTGCACAACATGGAGCTGTCATGGCCTGGCTGTGTTAGAACTCATTAAGGCAGGCTTGATAGGGAGGGGCACGACCCCATAAGTGCCAGTGGGCGTAATGGATGCATTCGTGATGCACGTTCCATCATTCCTTGCGTTCCAAACTCTCTCACTCTTGCCATACTGCATACGTACCGTTGGATTGCCATATTGCAAGAGCCCAAAGCCGACAAGGATCCACATGGGACACGCTGGCCCCGCGCGAAGGCACATCGGGGCTTGTTTCGGACCCCTATCTCCGAGCAACTAGGCAGACCCACACAGCCCCTCCCCACCAGCGCCCTTCCGGTGGCTCCTCCGCCTGGCCTCCTCACATGCACACATCCATCGCCACGGTTCGTGCACTCGCCCACGCACTCCTTCACGTGACTCTGCGAGGCGAGGTCGCTGTAATCCAGTCCAAACTGTCGCCCCTGTTACGTGTCGCTGCCGTACACTACCCGGCCGTGTCCCGCGAGGCATGTTTGTACGTCTCATGAGTCCTTAAGAGGGCTATGTACGTATGGGTGTATGTATGTATGTTTGTTTGTTATCTATTCAAGGTTCTGGAGCGACCGCGCGCCTTTTGACGCTCTCCAGCGCCCCTATCCTTCTCCTCCATATCTTACAAACCTGCCCTGGGAAGGCTACGGATAAAAGCGGCTGTTGATTGTCCTTGAACAGTTATTCCTGCTTGGCACCGTCATCTGGACTCTGTTTCCCTTCGGTAACGTTTCTTTTCTCTTCACACTTCTTCTCCTACTGCTCATCTGCGCCTCCACTACCTTGCTCGGGGTGTCGTACACTTACAGGTGGGCACCTTGACGTACATGGCGCCCGAGGTGCTCGTCAACCGGGACGGCAAATACGACGGTAAAGTGGCGGACATTTGGTCGTGTGGTGTGATGCTGTACGTCATGTTTTACGGGAGATATCCATTCGAGGTGCCCGCGGGGGCCGCCATGCCCAAGGCCACGGAGATCTTGTCCATGCTGGATAACATGGTGAGTATCGGTGGGTTGGTGAGCATTGCGACATCGCAGTGGCACTAATGCTGTCAGGGGTTTCTAAGGACAGCTCCTAGCGGAGCATTGAGGCGTCCTGCACGCAGAGGGAGATGCGCATAAGGGCCGGTTGGACCAAAGTCGACTCGGACCAACGATAGCGTCGTATGGTCGATGGGTTAGCTGTGGCAGCCCTCTTCCCTGACTCAATATATTGTCGCGCTGTACCCTCGCTCCTCATTTGGGGTATTCAGACTCCCCCTCACTTCCAGCATAGTCTTCCACGTGCCTGGGGGCCCCGCTTGCCCACTCCTTGCATACCGGCCCCTTGGGGCCACACACACACACACTCTCTCTCTCTCTCTCGTGCGTGCAGATGCATGCATCCACATTCCATGCGCATCAATCCATCCATCCAGATATCCATCCAGATGTCTACACATCCAAAAACGTGGGCGTTGCTAATATGATCGCGTATAACTTCTGTGCCATGCGCAGGTACGGCAACGGTACGAGCTTCCCACCAAGGTGGAGATTTCGGACTTGGGCAAGGACCTGCTGAAGAAGATGCTGCTGCCCGACCCCAAGGAGCGCATCACCCTGGAGGAGGTCATGAAGCACCCGTGGTTCACCACTAACCTGCCGCCGGAGGTGGGTCGTACTGGGGTGGGGATAAGAGTTTAGGAAACGTGTAGAAATAGTGTTAAAATGGTGGCTTCTGGCCAAGGTCAAGGGGGGAAGCGGGGTTTATTGTTAAAGGAGCTAAGCGCGATGGGGCCTGGAGGGTGAGGAAGCTCGTGATGAGGCGGTTCAGTGTGGGAGGGATGCAGGGTTTCGAATATAGCGGCGGGACGAAGCGCTTTGCATGACACAAAACATTACTTGCTGCACGACGTAAACCAATACTCATGTAGCGGAGTTGTAGGGCATGTAGACGATTTCCCCCGCCATCACCTTTACACGGGTGCCTGGCGGGCGGGTGGGGAGTGCACCGGAAAGGGGCCATGCAAAAGAGAAGGGATGGCGGACTGGAATTGATGAATGAGTGGTGAAGCTGGGATTTGAAAAGGAAGCCGCCGACTTAGAAGACTGGACCAATAGGACATCCTTGCGGGCGCGGCACAAGTAGCTTCTGCATGATGAGTATTGACTATTTCGACCCTATAGCCCGGTCCCAACGTACAACTGCTCGGACCTTACGGGACTGAGCTACCCCCCACCAGATTTCCCGAGGGCCTAATCATCCGCGGGCCCCCGCTTCCCTCCCTCGCAGCACTTCCAGAGATACCACTTCAAACTGCAATCTTGGATATTCGTGGGACCCGGTGTCCTTAGCCCTGTCACAGATCGGACCAGGGACCTGTGTGTTGCATGCCCCATCCCTCATGTCCCATGTCCATGCCCCGACCGCATCCTTGATATCAGCCTGACCTGGTAAGACCCGTGGACCATACAATTGCATTCGTACTTTTCCAGGCGCCCACCATGAACGAGTCGTACCTCAAAGGGGGATTCCCCCCGGGTCATCAGACGCCCGAGGAAATCAAGCGGATTCTAGACGAGGCCAAGGGCCGCAGCGTGGACAAGACGGCCAAGGGCAACACTGCAACGGACGAGTCGTACGACAGCATGATGGACAATGCTATCAACGAGGACCTCCGTACGCATCGCAGCGCAGAGCTGCAGCGGTACGTCAAGACGTACCGCTGATGTAGTATGGCTGTACGAGAGGCGTTGCCGTGTGTAGGACGGTTGAGGTCAGGGGCTTCAGCTTATACACGAGTTTGGGTGCAACGCGCACCTTGAGGAGGATGAGGACGAGGTGGCGGAGGCTGGCGAGGTGCAGTTGTCGTGGTGTACCATACACAGGCCCCTGGAACCCGTGAAGGCCAATTTTGTGTATTTGACGCACAGACGCACATACAACAACTTTTCATGTACATCATTTCGTACGTAGGGTTTAATGGTGGAGGTCCCTGCCACGTTCAAAGTACACCGCGGCGCACACAAAAGTAACGTTGTAGCGGCGGCATCATGGCGGCGGATGTGGACGAATGGATGGTTCTGTATGGATGTATGGATGTATAAATGACTGCGTGCTTCAGATATGTGTCCATAGGCTGCAAGATGCCTAAGGTCAACGGGACGGATTTTGCGTTTCGCGCTGTTGCATTTGTCGTGTGCTTGTAGAGTTGGATGGGGAGGAGGGAATCTGCGAAATCAGCAGCCATCGCTGCAGCAGCAAAGTCAGCAGTAACTCTGGGGGTCTACTGGAGGGGTTTCTACCGAGGTGGGCACTTGATGGGACTTGGGGTCAGCAAGGGCCGCGTAGCACTAGCCAGCGGGTGTTTGTTGCACCCGCACAACAACATTCTTCTACAGGGTGATTCCAGCCACTTGCAAAAGCCGCGGGCATTCTGCCTGACTCATGGCTTTGGGCTGCTTGACCGTTCGGTGAATTATTGTGCCTACGGAAAATCTACCGGGTGTGCGTATGCTTGACAGGCCCCCCCTCGAAGGAAGGACTGGTTGATTGTTTGGCTGATTTGGTGTTTGCATGTGAGCGGTTCATTGGGTAGGTGGATATGCCGTATGGGGGGGGGGAGGAGGGCGGTTCAGAGTTGAATATTGAGGGGGCTCTGGAAGCGCACCTAAGGGGGCTGTAGAAGGAGGCTAGGGGGGGGCGAGGACACTGCGAAGGCCGGGTGCTGAACTGCCTGGGTTGGTGATTGCAGTCGTCGTGATCATGCTAGATGCTGGACGATGATGCCATATGATAACATGTTATATGTTAACAGCCATGTGTACGGCATGATGTTGGTAGTGACAGCCGACGCCATGTAGTTGAACTCGACGTCCTCCACCTCCTTATATAGCAAACCCCTTAACAATTCAGCATTTCCTTGCACACCTTGGGGGTCCTTGCATCTGTTCTGACCCGCCTTCCTTAGCCTTGTGGATCTGGCCGGTGGAAACGTGGCATCGTGCTCTGAAAAGGCGCAGTATCCTAGCTTAAGCGGAGGTGCTGTGGACGGTGAGGTGTGTATGTCTTCGGGACTCGAAAGAGGATGGCGAGCGAAACGGAGCGCAGCGCTAGCAAATAAGATGAGGGCGGCACCGGTCGACACATGGATTCGTGTTCGTGTGTCGCATCACGGGGCCGGCGGCGGCGGCACAGCGGCTTCGAAACCCACTCGTATTCCGAGAGCCAGCCAGTAAGGTCCTTCCGTGGCGCATCACCTCCTCGGCGGCATGGATCTTGAGTCGCCACGCCCGGCAGTACGGCACAGGCGTGTGACCCGCATGTCCTTGAGTGGACGCCACGAATTGCGAATATTATAGTTGGACTGTGTATTTATCCGAAAAGGTCAGTTGGGTCCGAGGAGAAGGGCGCAGAAGGAGGAGCAGCGGCTTGTTGGGGACGGGGGAGGTTTTACGTCGTGCCTTTTGGCGCTGTACAACACTATCGCGCATGCTTACTACTATCTTGAAATGTACACGCGTGCGTATGCATGTACGGCACACTCAAATTCGTGCCGCAGGTAATTATGTCGCGGTAGATGGTGAACGTTTGTCCCCACGGAAAACCCAATACGGCGTTCCCTTTAGTCGGTTGGATAGCCCCGGGTGAACGTGCAGATGTGTATGTATATATATGCACTATATTTGGTTCTTTGTTCGGTGACCGACTCATACGGCAGAGTTAGAGTGTGCCGTTACATGGATGCACGTGATAGCCCACCATCCGGCTTTCTTCTCGCCCTGGTCAGCCGCTTCGGTTCATGTGTCGTACCGTACGTATTTTTGCCCGGTGTGTTCAGTCCGTGTATTGCTCGGTCCACTTTTCCTAAAAAAAGTGGACCGAGGTGCTTTCTTCCTATGGGGTGTTCAGTTAAAAAACTCATGCTCTAACCTGCCCCAGCAATGGCGGTCTCATGACACCATCGTCATCATGATGACGTCATCGGCTTGGGCCGCCTCTTGACCAGGCGGGGTGCTTTTGCGTGCTGCGGATACCAGGATTCCCAGAGAGCAAGGCTGCTCGACGGATGGGGCTCCAGGGAGCACGCCTCCGCATACATCGCGTGTGTCTCTCTGAGCTGTGGATCATCGCAGGCCATCACAGGCACAGCAGGGTCGCCAGGCCCAGTGGGAGGATGACACCGAACTCCCAGATGACCCACGGGCCGGATCAGTCGGCCAGTTCCTTGCCTTCCTATTCCGGGGTGCTTCCAGGGCTCCTCTAAATGGAATGGATGAAGAAAATGTCCCTGCCACCAATCTCGTCACCAACCACCAACGGCCTTTTGATTGTGTTTTCAGCGGATGAAATCAGGATTGGCATCCAAAACACTCTCGAACATTCAACCATATATACCACACATGAGTGACACTTGATCGCTCTTCACGCATGGGCTCCCAAGACACACACTTGTTGTACGAAATGTTGCTTTAAAGGGGCTTTCCAATTAAAACATGTGGTGTAAGATCAACGTGCGCCATGATGAACGAGATTGGCTTGGATGAATGACACGACATGACACGGCCTAATTACTGGTGGTAGTGCTGTTGCGCCCATGCAGTTACAAAATAGGCAGCCAGAGGGCCAAAAAGGATACCAAGGCGAGCCTCGTACCATGGCCCGTACATCCCCAAACAACTAGAGCCGTTTCCCTGCCCCGGACTTCTGTGTGGGGGCCCCAGGATACCGACTGCGACTGGGAACCAGGATGGAGGTCATAGAAGGGGGGTAGGCAAGCGGGTAATGGGTAAACGTCTCCTTTCCTCGCCTTGTCCGTCTGTGGCGTTACCCAAGCAGGTGTAGGGAATACGCTACTAGGCGAGGAAAGCAACCGGTTCGCCTTGGAAGCCCGCCGCAGCGTTCAGGGGCCTGCCGCGGGGAGAGGCCAGGAAGCCACTCCTCACCGGTGTGCGCCTTTGCACATCAGCTGAAACCCCTAGAGCATCGGAAGCGTCCTCAAATATTTTTTGCCTTCATGGCCGCTCCTACCGTGTAGGCAGTGCCTACTAGGCACCTGCCCGTGCATGTACTTGTTCGCGCTAGCATAGGACGGCACCAGAACGGCGGGAGGCCAAACAGTTACTAGCCACTCTTTAGTAGGGCACAAGCAGCCTTGTCCGCCCTAATGCAAGGTTCTGCTCAGTTGGCATACTTGGCAATGATTCGGTCTAATGCATGGCGTGACATTGTCTTTATGTCCTATAGACTTCTAGGCTCGCTATGCAGCTGCGTTCGAGGTGCCGGGTAGGACACAGCGAGGTGGCTGCCGAGGGCCTTTTTTTACACTACTGCATACTGCTGCTCTCGGAGCGCCAGGGCCGCGTGTGCACCGAAGTGCGGTGTAGCGATACACGGCACAGCCAAAGCGCACGAAGCGCTGTCCAGCGCGACCACACCGGCACGGCCAAGAAAGCTGACACACAGCACTACACGACTGAACGCCGCATTGATGACAGCGTCCGCTTGACAACCACCCCGAGGGCAAACTGAAGCGTCAGCGACACACAAATCACACCCTGGCCAGCGGGGCTGGCCAGACAACATTCCTAGCGCGCAACGATACTCTAAAGGCGCTGCGGCCGTGCCACAGTGCGGCAGTGCGGTGATCGCTGTATAGTGATGTGTCTGGCGTTCGGGGTGAGCTGCCCGATCACCAGGTCTCCAACTGGGCCGAGCCTGCCGCTTATAGCAAGGGGACACTGAGGGCGGGAGGAAGGGAACACTAAGAGCAACAATAAGCTCCAATAGTGTTGAGAGGTCGGAACTATGGAGCTGTCAGCTGAAGTAGCATTTAAACTGGCAAGCCGTACGGCTGCCGTACATAACGTAGCTTAGAGGCTATACTCGCTTCGCTCCCGCCGCATCTTATCTTCAAAGATGGGGGCCCTTGTGAAGCAGCTGCCCGCGTTTCCAAAGCACGTATGGTGATGTGGAAGGTGCGGAAGTACGTCGGTGAAATATAATGTGAAATATAATGTGGTAGGACTGGAGAGGATAGTGTAGCAGTATAATGTATTGTGAGTGTAGCTGAAGCTTTCATCGTGGGCGCGTCTCGTTGCAAGCTAAGCAACGCGTATACATGACGTGTAGCATCAGTCCTCAGTTCACTTCTTGTAACGAACATCAGCATAGGTCCAAGCCCTCTCGCTTGGAGGGATATATGCAAACAAACATCCTGATAGGTAAACTCGCATGCTACCGAGCATTCAACCGAGCACATGCATGCTTAGTTGAATGGTGAGATGCGACCCCCCTTCATTTCGTGCTCGGCAAGCCTGCCACCGCGTACCGGATATGTTGGCGATGTTACAGAGACGCTGCACCTTGTCCAAAACTACATGTTCCCATCTGAAGACAATGCTGGTGGTTCTTAAACAGAATTTGAGCTTGCTGCTGGCTCAAGTCCTTCCGTAGTAGCTGCAACACGGCTAACGCAGGCACGGCCGAATGCGCTGCGAAAAGCTGTTCCAAGCCCTCAGCGGCATCCATTTTACTTGCAAGGTTCTGAACGACTTTCGCGATTCTTCTCTTTACCTAATTCTGCGTTGTTATTATTTATTTCGTAAGAGTGTAACTTGAGTTTAGTCGGAACAATGTGCATTATGCGCTGCGCTACCGAAAGCAGGCGCCTTATGGCTGATTCTTCGCCGACCGCTTCATCTTCCGCGGCAGTTTCACGAGC